GGGCGCCGGCCCCTCGGACTCGCTGGGCGCCCGGGACGGCAGCGGGCGGCCGCGACCCGGCGCCTACCTGTATCCTTCCCGCCGCATCCCGGCGGCGCCTGAGACTCCCGGGAGCACGCACGTAGGGGCATGGAAACTGGCAAGTCATTTTCAGTGCGGGTGTTCGCTTTAGCGGCCGCCACCCCACCCCCCCCCGCCCCCAACATAAAGTTACACTTTTTTCTCCTACTTCGCGACCCCTTCCCCTGCCACCCTGGCTCCCCGCGTCCACAGTTGGACTTGGCTGTCATATTTTTGTGAATTTTAAATTGCATCGGCCCTGTATTGGATGGGCGAAGATTCGCCTTTTCGAATTACAGTGTAATACTCTTTACTTTCATAGACACTCCGCACTTAGTCGAGGCTCTTAGAGAAATGCACAGAGAGTAAAATCTTGTGTTATTCCCTTTTAGTAGTTGACACCCGCACCCGCACCCGCACCCGCACCCGTCCCAGAGCTGCTGAACCCAAGCACGTTCTGATTATTCTGATTCCTTCTTTGCCCGTTTTGTTGTCGGACATAATAAAGACAGAGCAGGGGACCCAAAATTTGGCAGCCTGGATTATTTCTGATTTTTCCCTGAGAAATAGTCGAGCTCCCATTTGATGTTACTGTTGGTAACATAGTGGGAATGTCAGTAAGCTTTGCTTTTAAAGTATATAAAACATCTTAATTCTTCCGGAGAACGTTATGATCATTAGAATCGCATTCTCAAGGGATCTTTTGGCTGACGGTGATGGCATTGTATGGTCATCTCTGTTTTTCTCAGAGAATGGGGAGTCTTCACTTGGATTCCTACCACTACCACCATCCTCTCTATTTCCTTACCTCCTTAGGGCCCAACTTCTTCTGGAATTTTTTTTCACTCTTTTACAATTTTAGTAGCAAATCATCAATTTTCGCTAAGGGTCTCCTCTTCTGCAGACCTTGCTTTAGGTCCTAAGGATGCAGGTCTCCTGGGGAAGACAGATATGTTAGGGCTCCATTAATGCCAAACACCCTCACAGCTGGTGTGTATATATGTATTATGTATATAACATTTGCTATCATATACCAACACTAATATGTACACATATTAGTTGTCCCACAAAAGCATTATCGTGTCATTACCATGAGACTCTAATTATATCAGACACTTACTCACTAAAGATACACTGTTGTTCTTAACTAAATGGCATCACTAGAGATATGAAAATCCATCTTGAGAAAAACTTAGAAGAAGAACGCCAGATACTACTACAGCAACAAAAAATATGTCGGAATCGAGCACGTAAATATTTCATGGAGTCAAACCGGAGAAGAAAGTAAGTAATTGTATTTTATTCAGAAGTGTGGAAATTCAAAGTTATTCTAAGTTAATTGTTTCTCTACTTTGGGGTGCTTCCTAGACTTGAGTCATGACTGTGGTTTATTTATAGAACAAATGATCAAGATGCTCATGATTTTGTAAGTTTTCTTCTTCTACCTGGAAGACCAAGTCTATTTTCTAGCTCCCGGTTGTGACTGTCATGGTTTTTTCTTGTTACAGAACAGTTATACTGACAGAGATGACTATGAAATGTACTATGGTCTTTTTGATGTTGTATCATATCATAGTTAACTAAAAGATCAACAAGTATTTAACTGCAATAGACTATAATTTGATTTAGATTTACCATTTATTTAATTTCAGTGTGGTACCCTCCTCATTCAATTACAAAAAGGGGAGAAAAAATAAATAATGATAGAAGGCCTTAAATTGCAATTTCTAGGTCATTACCAAAAAAGGTATCTGTGGAGAAAATTCAAAAGTATCCAACCACTTCTTAGCATTTTTAGGATTTTAAGTTACTAAATTTGTTTTGTTTTGCTTTGTTTCTTAAAGATAGGGTTTCTCTGTGTCACCCTGGCTGCTCTGAAACTCATTCTGTAGACCAGGCTGTCGTTGAACTCACAGTTTGATATCTTCCTACCTCTGTCTCCAGAGTACTGGGATTAAAGGCATGTGCCACCACCACCTGGTTTAAATTTTTAAAGATATTACTATTTTTATTTTAACTGTGTATGAGTATTTGCCTGAATGTATGTAAGTGCACACATGTATACCTGATACTCACTTAAAGACCAGAAGAAGCTGTCAGATTCCCTGAACCTGAAGTTACAGATGGTTGTGAACCACCATGTGGGTGCTGAGAACTGAACCCAAGTCCTCAGCAAGTGCTTAACCACTGAGCCATCTTTCGATTCAGAGTGGTTATCCAACATTTTTTTTTTTTTTTGTTAGAGCCGTCCCCATATTACTGTAATTCATGGTAGTAGAGACCCCTGGAGCACATTAGCCACGTCATTGGGCACATGCTGCGATCCCACGTGGACTACAAAATTGTTTACCTGGAAGTTCTTTCTGCCGTTGTATTTCTCTTGCACTTAATCCTTCCATTGTTCAGCGATGTTGAATTATTGAATGAATAACTCAATAATTTTTTGGTTTTGTTTGTAAGCTCTTGCTCTTCTGGTACTTTTTGGCTTCAGAGGATCGTATAAGGCACATGACCGCTGTCAGTGGAGATGACTACAGACTTTTGTTTTATGCTGTCTAGTCAAGTTGGAGTCAGAATTGTAAACTTTTAAGTATTTAGTATTTTCCCTTCAGACAGAAAAATCACGTGCCAGTTTTTTCATTATCTTTGGAAGTTATCTTTAACTGTTTAAAATGTCATAGACTAAGAATCTCTAAGATTTCATATTCTAGAAGGTAAAAAGTAAAAGACATATTCTTACAATCAGATTGTTAATAATGTAGCAATGAGAGATGACACTCAGTAAGTACTGTGGTTAAATCTCCTGTGAAGCAGAACAGAAGTACATCTCATAGACGATAGGACAGGAAGAGTCCCTGGAAGAATAGTTAGCCACTGTTAGCCAAGGGACATGTACCACGGATGTGTTGAGCTCAAGTGTTTGAGACTTTGTTGTTGTTGGTGGTGGTGGTGGTTGACTTTTTTAGTAGTAATTTTGCTTGTCATACTTCTACCACCGAGCTACAGCTACAGCCCTGCAGCAACAGCATTTAAATTTTCAAACTGCTTACCCACGGATGATTGTGAGCGTGGTGCTCTTGTGGATAGAAGCTGTAAACATTCGTGTATAGTTTTCATATGAACATAAGGTTTAAGTTTCTCTGGAATGAATGACTAGGAGTACATTACTGACTTATAAACATGATCTCTACCTGTTTAGTCCTTTCAGAAACATCTAGCCTTTTGCAGAATAGCCCACTGTACCCGCAGCAGTACAACATCCAGATTTCCTACGTAACTCACGCTTTGCTTCTCTCAGTACTTCTACATTAGCCATTCTGCTGGGTGTATAGAAAGCTCCTACTGTGCTTTATGTTTCCAGCTCCCTAATGACTAATGGGATAGAATATTCGTCATGTGCTTGTTTACCATCTGTCTGTCCTTTTCATGTCTTCTCTCTCACTCTTTTAACCTGGACTGTTTGCACACTGATTTATTCACTGTGGTTTTTCATACACACATGCAGCTCGCCGTGGTCACGTCCCTTCCACCCCTGTACTTCCCTGCCAGTCACATGTTTACTCTCCCCACTATACTCTGTCTTATACCCCACTCACTTGTATCCCAGTCCTTTATATTTACTCTGACACTTGAGGCCCTTTGTTTTGTTTTGTTTTGTTTTAACTTTCCACATACAAGAAAAAGAAAAGACATTACTTGGCATTCTGTGTCTCAGTATTTGTGTGCTATAGTATCCTCTACTTCCATCTGCTTTTTCTGCAAATGGCAGGGTCTTATTCTCCCTTCTGTGTGAGTGACACTTCTTTGTGTCTGTATATGTCCATTCATATGTTGACGAACACCTAAGTTGATGCCATAACTTGGTTTAGAAGAACAGTGCTACAATAAACACAATAACGCAGATGGTTTGTGCTAACTTCATTTCTTCTGGATATTTTGCAAGGTGTGGAATAGCTGAATCAGAGGATATTTCTGTGTCTAGTTATTTGAAAGACATCCACACTGTTTTCATGGTGATTTGTTAACTGACATTCCCATTTTAAAAAATGTTTTAAAGCTGTCCCCACATTAATTATTCTACAAGACTGATGGATTTTTATTATAATTTCAGTGAATGTAGAGAGTTAGACGACTGCAGGTCCAGAATGAAATTACCCTAGACCATCTTAGTTCTCTAAAGAACAACTTATTGCCCTCCTCTATGTTTGACCTAATATTCTGTGACTATTTGGTAAGTCCTGTCAAAATATATAGGCAGACCTTTAGCTTCTACCAACTCAAAAACTAAGAAGTCATTAGATAGAATCTAAGCATATATGCATCAATTTCCCTGCTTCGCTAAAACCTAACCACCTGATGTTTCTACCAGTATGTTTTAAAAATATCTTGATTTATTACTTTATTTTTTTTTCTGGAAACTTCATGAAACTGCTACCATATATGGAACATTATATTTGGAGTAATTCAAATCTACATTGCCAGGCAATGGGTCACTTATATTTGGCTCCAGCATTAATTATCTCTTAGTCCCTTTGAGGTAAGAGTTGTATTTTTTTGTGTGTCAATAAACTATACTTATTTTGATTCCTGCAAGCAACATAAAAGAATCTCATTTCTCTACGTCATTGACAGTAGTTATTATAATTTATTTTTCTAATGGGACAAGATGGTGCCTAATTACTAACCTGCATTTCCTTATTATCCTAAACAGCTGGTAATAATAACTTGCAAAGACTAGAAATTTGCATTACATTGTTAAATAAACTGTATAGGTACAATACCTTGAACAAGATTAGAAATGTATATACACTTTGTTCTAACCAAATTAATCTCAAATTTGAATCAATATGCAAAATTTGTATACAATATACAAAAATCAAGTCCAATGTAAAACATTTAAAACTAGTAGTTGCTTTTGAAAAGTAGATTCCATAATCTACCCTTTTTATCGTACCCTATCTATGTCCTTCTTTTTTTCCTTTCAAAATACATTCAGTAATCTTCCATTTCATCTATCATATCTGTGTCCCCTTTTTTTCTTTTCAAAACAAGAACCTTGAATCTCATTCCCTTTGTTTAGATTTTTTTTCCTGACCATTATCCATAGCAACTCATAACCAACAATCTAAACAAAGACAGACATCCATAATCCAATTTTTGGGAATGTGGGCATAGTTTTCTAGGCTACTTCTTGCTCGTTGGGGATGCTGATAATCTTATGGGGACCCAAAGAAAATTTAGGATTATGGAGTATTCTGTGAGACTGTATCTTCTCAGGCAGCAGTCTTGAAGCTGTTCTGACTGTGGAACTCAGAGGAAACTGCAGCAGAGGTGCTCTGAGACATTGGATCATTTGGGCCCTCTGCTCCTATAGGAGATTTTTCAAGGGGTCTGGCTTGATCAAACCTCATTTTTCTTAACCCAGAATGAATCCACAGCCCCTCATTTTCTGTATTAACAAAAGCAAAACCTCTTCTTTAAAGCAACATATCTTTTTACTTAAATTTTGAAGTCAAGGCATTTTCAAAATATATAGGTTGGTTTCATCCAGCAGCATTTATAATTGAATGTCTTTTTGCAGCTGTTGCTCCTTCCTCAACAGTCAAACAATTCAAAGACAACACAATAACATACAGTATCCAGATTCTTTGTGAATTTTCTGTCTTTATGTAACTCTTTTTTTTTTAACTCTGTTTCTTTTTATTTTTAATTTTTGTTTCTCTCTCTCTCTCTCTCTCTCTCTCTCTCTCTCTCTCTCTCTCTTTTTGAGACAGAGTTTCTCTGTGCGTCTTTGGCTGTCCTGGAACTAGCTCTTGTAGACCAGGTCGGCCTCCAACTCAAAAGAGATCCACCTACCTCTGCCTGCTGAGTGCTGGGGTTAAAGGTGTGCACCACTTTAACTGCCCAGCTGATATCACAGTCTGAAGTACTGGCCAGATGGTGGTAGCACATGCCTTTAATCCCAGCACTTGGGAGGCAGAGATGGGCAGAGCTTTGTGAGTTCGAGACCAGCCTGGTCTACAGAGCTAGTTCCAGGACAGCCAGAGTTGTTACTCCGAGAAACTGTCTCAAACAAAGAGAGAGGAAAAGGGGGGGGCAGTACTTTGTATTATATACATTGTTAATTCTGTCTGTTAATCAGAATGTGGGTGTTCTGTATTTGGGTGTTTTCTTCTCCAGTTTGTTTGTTTTTCTTTCCAATCAAGTGAAAAGTAACCCATTGAAAAATTGGGAATTTCAGTATAGATTTTGGAAATTGTAATTAATTTTGACCTTTACAAGGACAGGGCTAATAATATAAAGCATGTGCCTCTTTGTCATGTAGAAAACTCCTGGTGTTTTCTTGATTTTGTCTCTTGCAGACCGTTAGCACCATCATTTGTTATATCTTATTCTTGAAAAAGATTTCTTCCAATTGCATTTTTAATTTGAAAGGGTACTCTGTGCCTAGTTTTTAATTTCTAATACCTCAAAATGTGGTTGAGTTTTAAAGTTAAGTGTCATGTTTGAAGGCTGTAACTACCTACATCTGAAATAGAGTTTTGTCCAGAAGAAAGGAAGGCACCACAAAAGGCAGCCTTTCCGATCCCACCACCACCTCCTGGGACTCAGGTGCTCTCAATGCTACTGCTTATTATGTTGCTACAGAAACTGTCGCCATGGCACATTATTTGTTCCTCAGAACCCTTCCAGCAAATGATACTACACAATTGTAGACTCCTGGGAAAGCAAAACAAACTGTTTGGCATATGGTTGTCATTTAATGAGGTCGCTCACCTTGAGCCAAGGTGTTGTACGTATGTCATGAAGCAGAACTGCGCACATTGAGCAGACCCTTCAAAAGTTACCAAGGCCAACTGTGTCTTCTGTGAAAAATGCTAAGCTTAGAGACAATAGGAATGACAACATGGTTTTCTGAGTCTAAACTCTGTAGAGGTGCAGAAACTTTCCTTCCTCACTTCCATCACCTGCCTCTTCATTCCCACTGCTTCCCTGAGTGCCTGACACATCACCAAATAAAAGAAATCCTGCAACTCCTGACTGAGTAAGGAAAGAACTATAATGTAAATATTGCTATACTTAATTTTTCGGACTCTATGTTAGGGCATGTCACAGAGCTCAAGAGGAAAAACACAGGCTTGCTGGCCACATTCTGTCAGTGCTGTAATTTGACACAAGTTAGTACAGTTGTGGAAAGTGAAGTGTGAAATTCTTTTCTGGGCACATTTTAATATAGAGCACAGGACCACTATGGAGGAATATAAAGTAATGGAGATGATATTTTCTATTAAAATAACTTTATAATGCTAGCAAGGAGGATACCACCTCTTATCTTCAGAAGCTCTCATTTCTCAGTACTAAACTGGTTGTGTTTTCTCAGTTTAAATATTCAGGAGGAGGTCTGCCTTGTCTCTTTCTCTAGCTCTGAACATTTGTTTGCCGTTACTTCTGCTAGAGTACTTTCTTTCTCCTTAATTTTCATAACTGTCCAGCTTAAATGTCATGTCTCCAGAGAGAAATGAAATGTGACTTTCTAAACACTGTTTGTTTTAATCCAAATACCGCATAGACTTAATGGGTGTGAGTTGTCATATTTAGATATACAAAGAAGTAAAGAACACAAGCCTGGTGGCACCTGCCTGTAATTCTGGCATTCATTAGACAAAGGCAGGTAGATCACTATGAGTTCTAAACCAGCCTGGTCACACAGCAAGTTCCAGACCAACCAGGGTACATAGTGAGAACCTGTCTTCAACAGCAAAAACAAATGAAATAAAAGTAGTATATAATTTATTTGTATTAAATATTTATTCCCCAATTCCAATAAGTAACAGATACATGGTAAAAAAAATCAGTTTGTACTTATTATATGAATCATTTACTGGTATATAACAATCCCCCACAAACTTGGTAACCTAAAGCAGTATATTCTGGTTGTCTGTGTTGACTGATGTAGCTGCTTGATTTTCCTTTGGAAGTCTCATGCTGTTGCACTCAGATTTCATCTATGATTCTCCTGAAGTTTTATCTGTGGTGATCTTGACATTGATTATGCTTCTTTAGTCACATGCTTTGTGCTTGCTTGATTCACCACTATTGCTGAAAGCAAACCAGACAGTTCTCTGCCTGTAGCTGTTTCTCCCTATAGCCAGCTAAGTTGGGCTGCGTCTCCACGAGATGATCTCAAGGTCATCAGTAATAATCTTTGCATCCTGGCATTTCCTAAAGTGAGCACTCTCAAACAGAAAGTTAAGTGTTGCAAACATCCAGTGTGGCCCGGGCAGTCACATAGCATCACTGTCATGTGTCATAGGAGAGTGACAGGACCAGACTCATTAAAGAGAAGCTACATAATCAGAGTGGAGAACGGATAGAACCTGTAAGCTTTGAGCCCTACTGACTAATAATCCGTAAATATAGACAAGCCTTCCTTTGGAGTTCTTTCATTTGCATTTTGTAGTTTTTGGTATATGTCATTTTTGCCTCTTTGGTTGAATTTTATCCCTAAAATATGTATGTATTTGTGGGGGGGTGTACATGCATGCTTAAATGCACATTCATACTCGTGCATGCTATTGTAAATGAAAATGCAATGTGTTTTTTCTGGATTTTTCATTATATAAGATGTACATAGAAATGCATTTTATTTGTGTGTTGGTTTTGTATATCTTCTGAATTTATGTATTAGTATCAGCTTTATGTAGAATTTTTAGAGTTTTATGTACATCAAATCATGTTACCTGCATGTGGATGCCTTGTATTTTTCTTATTTTCCTAAGCTCTCTGGCTAGTAATCCAATACTGTACTTAATGAAACTGTGAAACTAGGTACTTGAAATCGTTTAGGGAGATCAGACTCTCTTCCCTTCCTGTGGTGCTGCTCCCCACATACTACCTCCTGAAAGCACAAAGCTCTGTCCCCGGTGCTGCAACTCTCTAGACAACCAGTTCTGTAGACAAGGTGGGCCTTTTAATAGTGGTCCACAATGGCCTAGAACAGGAAGAATCTTAAAAGAGTTCACCTAGCTGTCCCCAAGTTCATACACGACAAAGCAGTGCCTTTGGTGCTTTCCTGCAGTGTCAGGTTTGCACTGTAGTCTTACTTTTTGTCAGACATTTCTTGAGTGATACAAACATATTTTGCAAGAACAAAATTAACTGTTTAAGGCAGTACAGCTAAAACAGAGAAAATAGAAAGTGCCTAGGGGCAATTATAAATAAAGAGGAAAGTTAAGAACACTGGGGATGTGGGACGGACAGGATGACTCAGTAGGCAGAGATGCTGGTCTGGCAAGCCTGACACCTGAGTGTGACCCCAGGACTTCTTATAGAGGAAGAAGAAAAACCAGCGTTGCAGAGTTGGCCTCTGCCCTCCACAAGTTGCTAGAGCACATGTACCACACCACAATAATAATAATAATAATAATAATAATAATAAAAAATACCTTTTCAAACTGAACACTACAGGGCACATGTTTGTAACTTTGTCTACTGAAGAGTTATTGGTTAATATTTACAAACCAACATTTTTATAAAAACTGTATTTTTAGCCAAGTTAAGATTTATATGACTTCCAATTTTAAGCTTTTGCTGTAAAAGGTAGAAAAGTCATTTCCTTGACTTTCCCATAATTTGCAATGCTGCTTCTTTTTCACCAGTAAATACCAGAAACAGCATGCTGTTAGGAAAGGCTTTTTGCCCCAGCAAGGTATGGGATCTTGGCAAATCTGCCAGAAATCAGAAAAGGGCCTTACTGAAGAATTTTCTCTTCATTCGAAAGATCTGAATGGTGGTCTGAAATGACCATTTTCCAAGGATATTTTAATTCTTAGCCAATGGCCTGTTAAAATCAGAAATGTGTTGTCTCTAAGTAAAATGAAAACTGTTATTTCATAAGTAGTGGTGTTTTCACATCATTCTTTCTGTTTTGTTCAAAACTATGTGTCTATCCTGTTTCCGTCATATCTTAAATCTAGAGCTTTTGAAGAGAAGCGCAAAGAACAAGAAGAAAGAGAATATCAAATTAGAGAGCGCATCCTTCAACAGAGGAAACAGAAGTTTGAAGAAGTTACTGAAAAATTCCAGCGTGCCCATGTTCCTCTCTCTCAGAAAAGGAGAGCAGGTACCTATCATTTCTGAAACAATTCTGAAACAAAAATGAAAGTTTTAATTAAATTTAAATCAAGTAAACAATAAAATTACAGATTTAAAAAAATTCAAGTAGAAACCAAAACCACAACAGCCTTGTGTGCTGTTTGAGTAGCAGGCACTTTAAGCAAATGAAAAACAGGAATGTGACTTAAATTGAATTTGATGAATACTATGTTGGCTGCATTGGTAAACCCTCTATTCACTCACGAGTTTCTTTCAACGTCATGCTAGTTCACAGTGTTTTGTCTTTTTAAAATCAATTTTTTCTTTCAAGTAACTTAACAGAAAATTTAGCTGTTAGGTTCAGGAAATTAGTATCACATTCATTCTGGTATTTTACTTGTAGTTCACTTCAAATTCTTATTTGAACGATTGGCAAAGAACAACATCTCCAAAGTAATAAACCCAATAATATAAGACCCGTGACCAATTAAGAATTGAAGGATATATAACTGGATGAGGAGATGGCTGCATGTGTAAAGCACTTGTGAAGCATGAGGCCTGGAGTCTGCGTCCCCAGAACCACGTCAAGTGAAACAGCCGTAACCACAGCCTGCACTCCAGCACTAAGGAAGCACAGACAGGGGATCCCTGGAGCAAGCTGCTAGCTAGTCTTGACAAGCTTTTGGTTCATTTGAGAGACCCTGTCTGAATAAACCAAGTGGAGAGTAATTGAAACACTCAGTACCAACCTGCAGCCTTCACACACATCTACACATACATGCATTCCACACATGTGAGCATGTGTATACACAGCACATACATTTCAAAAAGGAATTTAAGTATGACTGTGATTGATGCTTTCATATCAGATCCACACTTTTGGACCTTAAACAGCAAGACAGAACTAACAATATGTCAAGGCTTACAGAAAGAGAGCTGGCAGTACCATCATCTACCCAGCCATCGTGTACTGTACTGTGTTATACTCTGTCCCCAGCTATACTGAGCTACAGAAATAAAAAACTGTACTCTAATGCTAAAAATCACAACTTATTTTGGATTAGAATTTAAATAGTATCATTGGTACTATAATTGATGTGATAGCAGAATGTGTAACTACTGTGAAAACAAGGAAAGAGCATTAGCCTATGTCAGGACACTAAGTCATTGTTTATGACTCTTGAATTAGTATCTTGCCAGGCAAAGAGAAATATAAAGGGTAGCCAGACAGAAGGAACAGTTCATACAAGTGAATTGTGTCTTTTGTATATCAGAAGCATAAGTTAGGGGATAAGAAGAGAAGAATATTAACTTGAAACTAGAAATAAGTTGGAACCAACTCCTGAAGAACTTCGTATGTCATACTAGAAAGTTCATCGTTATACAAAATGCCATTTTTGAACTGGAAAGCAAGCCGTTTCTCTATTGGTAAGGGATCTTAGTGTAAAGAGGTGCTACAAGGAACACTGACACCGTCAAAAGACACCAAAGCAAAGCATGGTAGAGTTTTCTTTTTCTCTCATAGGCTAGGTCCTGAGGTCAGGGTCAAGAGCTGGTTCCATGGTTGTACAGACTTCTGCTGTCTTTCAGCTAACTACTTTCTACAGATGGCTTCTATCTTTACTCTTGTGGATATGGTAGCTGCTAGATCACCAGCAATAAGATTGGATAGATATGGGGCTGGAGAGATGACCCAGTGGTTAAGAGCACTGACTGCTTATCCAGAGGACCCGGGTTCAATTCCCAGCACCCACATGGCAGCTCACAACTGTCTGAAGATCCAGTTGCAGGGGATCTAACACCTTCACACCAATGTACATAAAATAAAGTTAAATAAACCATAAAAAGTAAAAAAAAAAAAAGATTGGATAGACAGAAAAAAGAAGACATAAAGGTTATGCCTCTGAACGCCCTTTAAATCATTTCCTTAGAGGCCTCCATTTATATAATTTAACCTATCTTGCTCCATTTGTAAGGGAAACTGAAACTTTTTCAATATTGGATATGTTTCTACTCGTAACAGTATGAGCTCCTTTACTAAGAAAAGGAAATAAATATTAGAGAGTTCTCCCATAGTAAGGTCTCTTTGTTAGGTAACTCTAGTGACAACATGGAATATGGATGGAAGTAGCAACATACTGAAATTAAGGGCTAGGAGGAGACTAGCTCTGGGAATATGTGTTATATTCCTCACTCAAGCAGTAACTGTATAGACAGAAGAGGTAATCTACTCGGATACCACGGTCAATAGGATCACTAAGTGTAGGAGTAGACAAGCTACAAAGAGAACTTGACAGAGAACATCACACATAAGACTCTTTAATAAATGACAGTATTTTACTAGCATGTATTCATTCTATGTCATAAATTTTACCTTGATATTTTTATACATGTATGTAATATTATTATCATATTCACACCCGTTACCCTCTCTTATGTCTAGAGCGCAAGTCTGAACTAACCCCTAAGTAACTGTCAGTGACTTTGCTTAAACACCTTAGAGAAAACTACAGACAATAGAATAGTAAAGTGTTAGGTTTGTACAAAGAGTTGAACCTAGAAAATCATCTCTCCTATCCCAAGGCTTTGAATTATATACAGAATTTGATGACTGGGACATAATATTCCCATAATTAAGGGCTGCAAGAGGTAACATTCTTAAGGAACAGCTGTGCTTCTACCCGAATGACAGTGAGGGGAGCATTAGAAGGAAAGGAAAGAAATATGTTGCGTGCCTAAGTGCACATTGGAAGGCTTTCACAGTGGATGTGTACAGAAAACAAGAATGGATAAGAGGTCTAAAGAGCTGTGTGGGGTTAGTGTCCATGTAGCATATGGTCGTAAAAGTTTGAGACCATGAGATCAAATATAGAAGAGTTTATATATCAGAAAAGCCTACACACCTACACATTTTTCGAATTAACTTTTTTCCAAATAAATATCATCATAAAATTAATGATGAAGACCTCAAGGTAACAATTTATTTTTTAGGACTAAATATCAAAGTTTAAATTTTAATTCTATTATAAATATATTATACAAGAACTTTGAAATACTTTATCAGCCAGTTATCTATCAATAAACCATTGGTAATAAAAAATGATTCCTTATTATGTTTTTTTCTATTTGCTTAATTTTTCACAATCCAGTCCCTCCATTGGATGAGGCACTTAAACAAATTCAAGAATCCAACTTAAAATCAGAAGTAAACATTCCTCTTTCCCACAGACCAGCAACAAGTTGGCGGTAAGTAATTTATTACCGTTTTGAAGTTATTAGACTTATCACTTTATGTGTAATAACCATATGGCTTTCTGCTTGCTGAGTTTGTGGTCTTTTTCATTGGTTACTTCTCTCTTTGGGGAGAGTGGAGCGGTTTGAGACAGGGTTTCTCTGTGTAGCCCTGGCTGTCCTGGAACTCACAGAGATCCACCTGCCTCTGCTTCCCAAGCACTGGGATTAAAGGCATGTACCACCACACACAGTGTTCAGCCTCCATGTATGCCTGCAGGCCAGAAGAGGGTACCAGATCTCATTACAGATGGTTGTGAGCCACCATGTGGTTGCTGGGAATTGAACTCAGGACCACTGGAAGAGCAGTAAGTGCTCTTAACCTCTGAGCCATCTCTCCAGCCCCATTGGTTACTTCTTATCTCTGTTTTAGAATTTGTTCTTTTTACAAGTTAAGAATTAACTGTCTTATAGTCATAATAATACAAATACTGTCAACAGTGAATAGTTTTATATCAAAACTATTTTAATATATTGATGTTTATGGTTGTCTTTACTGAATAGATAACATTTTTTAAATTGTATTGATACAAATTTAGTTTTAAAAGGTAATTTTGTGGTTGCAGTGATTTTTTTCTTACTCATAATTTTTGTTGTCATTATCTCAGTAAAAACTACAATGTTTGTAGTTTCTTTCCAGAGTTGCATAAGTAAATCGTATAAAAGCAATAGCATAGACTAGCCAGTCATTATGCTTCCTCCATTAAATGTCTTTTCCATTTTTCCCAATATTTTTGATGTTACTATTTGCAGAGAACTAGATGAAGCATTGGAAATCAATGTGGAGTAGACTGTTAAAATATAATCCCTAGGGGCTAGAGAGCTAGAGAGGTGGCTCAGTGGTTAAGAGCACTGACTGCCCTTCCAAAGGATTTTCTAAGTATATATTCGTATATAGATATCTTGCCTCACATATGATCCCTAGAACTCCCAAAAATGCATAGAATTACATCAAATAAACAGTAATAATCAGACATTTAATAATTTAGGCTATAAATTGTTTTAATATTCTACCTATACAGAACATTATTCTGTTCTTAGAATTCTTCTGGTCAATAATTCTCTTTATTAGAGCTAAAAACAAATAATTTCATCCTTTCAGTATTCATTAGAGTCTGGGAAAGTACTAGACTCTCGGCTTAAAGAATCACAGTAAAAAAAAAAGAATGCTTCAGCCAAACTCTGAAAAAAAAAAAAAAAAACATGAGTTAACCAGGACAGGTGGTGAATGGCACTGCAGACAGAATTCTGAGCAGATGCCAAGTTCACAAGTGACACAGTGGTGATCGTGTCAAATCAGCTGGTGCTATAGCTCAGCAATAGCTTGCTTACTGGGCATGCACCAGACCCTGGGCTTGACCCTCGCCCTACAGAGAGAAGATGAGAAAGGAGAAAGAGGCAGAGATAGGCAAGAGACAAAGAGAGAACTCATATTTTGAGGTTATAATGGAGGTGCATGCCTCTAATCCCAGAGCTCATAATGTGGAATAAAGAATATCAAGACTTGAGAGCCTACTTCAGCTACAAGAGACCCTATCCAAAACAACAATAATAATAGGTGAATCAGAGAACACAAATATTAAGAGCTTAACTAGATATGAGATTAGAAAGTGAGATGCATCTGTAGGTTAAGAAATATAAGCTTTGAGGCAGTCGAGATGGCTTAGAAGGTGAATGCACTCGCCACCAAGCTTGACAACGTGCATGTGATCCCCAGGATCCACGTGGTCAAAGGAGAGAAACAACTATGCCCTCTGACTTCTGCATGCGGTCTGTGGCATATGTGTAAGATAGTAGGAAAACTAAAGCCTTTAAAGACAGTGGTCAAATCCCTACCTTTGCAGTTATTGGTTAAGTGGTTAACCATAAGCAAAGCAACATGTTGAAGTGAAACAATCTACAAATGCATGTTAAGAAACCGAAGTTGAAGACATGAAGATGGTATGATTTTAGGATACTCCTAGGCTTGTCTGGATGACAGATGGCACCTGATGGCCAAGGCAGGCAAGGTTCAGAGGGAGCTTTGAATTTAAAACTTCAAAACTACTTAGCATTTTTGTACAGAGACCCTTCATTTTCCAGTTTCTTTTTCTGTATATCAACTATTATTTTGTGCTGATCAGGCATTTTCCATTTTAAAAACACTTCTTTTGCACAATAAATGAAAACATGGTGGTTTTTCATAAACTCAGCAATGAGTTTAAGATTTTCTTTAAACTGTCAGAATAACTTCAATTCTTCGGAAGCAAACAAATATGCTATCATTTTAGCAGATGTGTACTAAAATAATAAATATTATGTATTGTCATTGTGAGGAATAACCTACATTCTGTATCAGAATACCTGGTTTTCATAATATACTTTTGGCTGTAACATTGTGATATTCATGTGTGTGTATGTATGTATGTATGTATGTATATAAACATAAGATTTATTTGAAAAGCCAATATGTATAATCTATGAGAGAAGATACCATGATTAACTAACAAAAAGTTGAACTTCTCTCCCCAAATAACTAAATGTTAAATATTGTATATTAAGTATACAATGTGATAAATGCCATATAATATGAAATTTTAGACTATTAATGATCACTTATTGGTTTTATGGAAATAAGTTTCTTTCAAATGTTTTTACAAAGATTAATAAGCTATTGTCATGCTACAAATACATTTCAGTGGAATATAAACCTAAAGTAGTTAAGAAATAAAATATCACGAAACAGTTCCAAAGAAGCAGAGTACTTGTACTTGTAGCAGTACTTGTGCTAGGGACTGAGAAGGTCTTTGCACAAGCCCAACCATTAGCCACAGCCTCAGCCCAAGAGGTGGTTCTAACATAGAATGCTAATTGTAAATAAAAATAAAAAATTATAATCTAAAAGGAAAATTTGTTTAGAAAAGTGAGGGCTAATTCTTAAACCTCAATTTAAAAAATTGGTGAATAGGATTTTAGGAATATAGAAACTCCTTTAGGAAGTAATGAGGTATAAAAATATTAATAAGGTATTAACTTTTAAACTATAAGAAATAACCAGCCTTCCATCACAATTGAGTTCTTACCACAAAGCTAATCTTCTTGACATATCTGGTGGATGGAGAGAAGAGGGCATAGCTCTCCTGCATTAAACTCTCTGGAACAGATTGATTTTGTTAGACAGCTATCTCCAATATCCATGTATTTGTCATGAGGTAGTCCATTCTGAACCACCCACTACCCAGAGATGTCTGCATATTATCTTCACACTAATGGTTTAAACTAGATTTTCCAACCAATACCCATGCTGCAGACTTTTGAAAGGAGAGAACACGTGAGCTCGAGTCAGCTGGGTACCTGTTTCACTCAGTCAATGTGACCAATGGAAGATCAAGCACGGACCCTAAAGGATAAAATCAAAATTAATCAAAGGCCTACAGGCAGCCCAGTAATAGAGTGTTTTAAATCTTAATGAGGTTCTTTCTACTTGCCTGTCCAAATACTTTCCCACCTATGCAGATCCATTCCTGCCTGTCCAGCTCTCTCCAGTCCTGATCCCTACTTACCTGGTCAGCTGTCGGCTTCACGGGCCCCATTGCTACCCCATCCTCCCCAAATTCTTCCTGACTACCCTGGTGTTTGCCCCACCCCCCAGACCTGTGTCCATCTATCTGTCCCCTCCACTCTTCCAAAGACCTTCTTACCGGCCCCATTACTATCTTATCCTATCAGATATCTCCCTCACCCTCCAGCCCCAGTTACTTCTAGTTCTTCTAGCAGTTTCCCTAGTCTGCCAGCTCCTATTCCTTCTAGGCTACCTGTCCTTCAGCCTCACCAATCCCAGAGTTCTCCCATCATTCCTGATCCTGACTCACAGAACAGATTGTTTTATAAAACTTTCAGACCCAAACATTTGCTTGCGGCGCAGCATTCTACCCCCGCAACTCTAAGGCCTGCCCTGATCCGCCGTTCCCTTCCAGCTCGGCTAGTTCTTTCCCCAACCCCCTTGGAAGCTCTGCCTATTTTGAATCCTTCCAGTTTATCTAGTCATCCAATGCAACCAGCCCCACCCCTCCCTTGTATCACTCCTTTGCCTGAACGTTCTGCTAGGTTTGATGCTTGTCAGTCAGTTCAGAAATCTGTTCCACAAGCCATAACACTGTCAAATCAGCCTCAGGCCTCTGTAGACCATCTGCCTGCCTTGACTCTCTCCCACCCACCTCCATGTCCTTCTCCATCCTCTACTTTGCCTTCATCGCCTTCTGCTTCCACATCCTCATCACCTTTGGTAGATGTTTCTTCCTCTTCATCCAGACTTTCTTCTCCTTCCCCTTCTCCTTCTCCCTCCCCTCCCTTACCTAGTCCATCCAACCCTCTTTTGCCCTCTCCTTTGCGTTCACCATCTTCTCCGTGTTTGCCTCCAACTTATCTAGCTTTTCCTTCTCCAGCGTCTCCTTCTCCCTCTTCTTTTATGATTTCTTCTTCCTTTCCTCCCATGCTCCACTCTATCTCCATTTCTGCCTCCCCATCTCTTTTTACTCCTATTCATCCCTTCAATCCTCCTCACTGGAGGAAGAAAGTAGAGAAGAGGAGAGAAGAAGGTGGAGTAGAGAAGAAAGGAATAGAGAAGAAAAAGTTGAGAGACGACAACTTTAAAGGTAAATAAATTGAGTTTATTAGACATTTTGTAGAGTTAGTTCTATTTTGTTTGGGAAGGGCAACTAAAGGGGAACAATTATGTAAGAGTAGAAAAGTATGGAAACAGCTGGGCAATGGTGGTGCACGCCTTTAATTCCAACATTCGGGAGGCAGAGGGAAGGGAATCTCTGTGAGTTCAAGGCCAGCCTGGTCTATGGAGTGAGTTCCAGGAAAGGCTCCAAAGCTACACAGAGAAACCCTGTATGAGAAAGAAAGAGAGAGAGAGAGAGAGAGAGAGAGAGAGAGAGAGAGAGAGAAGAAAGGAAGAGAAAGAAGAGAGGAAGAAAGAAGAAGTATAAAAACCAAAATAAATAGAAACACGCCCTCACTGTTTAGGAATATGTACTAAATAAATACCTTCTCACTAGCCATGGTCTCCAGGTCATGACACAGGAATAATTAGGAATGTAGTCATCACTGATCTTGTTGATTCTGGTCTGTCTAAATAAAGACATATATGGGTATTGGAGATAGTAATGTCACATGTGGCAATATGCCACCTCCTAAAACGATTGTTTATCCTGATTTAATTGGAACTAGTTTAACTGAGTTGGTAATAAATGCCCCTCAGTCAGCTGTATCCTTCCTCACCCACTTGTCCTTGAAGGAACTGAGTTTTCTCTGTGTATATACACTGAAATGTAGCAAGCTCTCAGTTTCGAGACAGCACAGAGATCTAATAGACTGAGTTTCCAGGCAGTACAACATTGTTAAAACATATATTTATATATAAATATAGTCCTGATTGAACACACTAAAAGTAGACTACATTGAAGACACTCTTTTTTGTAGGATTAAAAAATACGTTTATATGGGGCTAGAGAGAGGGCTTAGGGATTAAGAGCACTGGCTGCTCTTCCAAAGGACCCAGGTTCAATTCCCATCACTCACATGACAGTTAACAGCTGTCTATGATTCCAGTTCCATGGGATCTGATGGCCTCATACCTCTGTATATATACATTCAGGCAAAACCCCAGTGTTCATTAAATAAGTAAATAAAGTTTTTAAAAATATGCTTATATTTCTGATTATATTCCTGAAACAAACTGAAAAGAAAGGTTTATATTCTTGGTTGCGTAAGAGCCACACCCCCTTGACTAGTGCTGCAGGGAGGACATTCATACTTTGCCTGACAACGCAGCATTCATAATTTCCACCTGCTTGAGTCTTGGCCCATTCTTCTAGGGACGTAGGAATTCTTACTGGTCATGACATAACTAAGGACTAAAGCTAATAAATATTATTTATATAAAAACATACCTAGAGAAATGAGAAGTGACAATACATGCACAGTATGTCTGCCCCTGCCCAAGTGATAAAGAATGGGCTATAGTAACGGAAGTCCTGGTGAATAGGCATCCCTATGTGAAGGTCCTCTGTGTCTGCACTCCGCCCTCACATTCATTTTATTCGAATTCTCATTGTCTCAAATTCCCATTCTAATATGTCTGTAGATTTCTCCAATATCCTTGTATGTAATTATCTAGACATGTGTACATAGTATACAGTTGTGTCATTTATATACTTATAGAAATAAGTTCATTTCAGCTAAATGTACTAAATCTTCTCATATCTGGTTCACAGAGCTATAGATTCTGCCTTGCCTTCAGCGTTGTCTAAAAATGATTACAAACATCAAAAATACCTCGTACGCAGAATTAACCATGATAAAGAAGTGGCGGAAAACAACATAGCAAGCCTAGCTACTAACAAAAATGTGTTGCAGCTTAAACTGGAGGAGACTCAGAAACTCCTAGAGAACCAACATTTAAGCAGTTTGCAAGTAAGAATGATAACTATGTTACTGGTGTTACAATTTTAGTTATAATTCTGACCTGCCTCATAGTGTTCTCCACACAGCTAACAGAGGCTGTAAGAATGCTGCCTGCGGTGAGTCAACACAGCCTCATCATAGATGCTGAAGAAGCACCTGGGGTTTCCCTGGCCTGGTCCCAGTGCTCTTTCTGCTCTTCTTCTTTTTCCATCTATTTAAAAAACGTAGGATATATGAGTGTTATTTTCTAACAAATATAAAAGCTGTTTGAAAGTAGTATAGTGTAGTAGAAGTATTATTGTTAGAGATTATATTTAAGAAAGCAGCCTAAACTTATGATGTACACGCTACTGAGCCATCTCTCCAGTCCCTAAAACCAATAGTTCTTGAACCTAAATTCACATGCTTCTATAGAAATTGTAAAGTAGGTATAAGACTACTACATGGATCTCATGTGGGAAATGAACCAGTGGAGCCCAGACATAGATTTTTGTTGGTATTTTATTTGGATACAGGATCTAATTTAGACCAGTCTTGCCTCATAGTTACTATGTAACCAATGCTGTCCTTGAACTCGATCCTCACTGCCATATTTATTTTTATGAAATGCTTTGTCTCTTACATACAACCAGAGTTGAAAACCTTACTCCAGACCTTTATAAAAAAAAAAGATATAATTCCTACCAACAGAAAGTTCATGTTAGAGTCACATAACATTATTTTCTTTTTTAAAATTCTCTTTATTTTTGAGACTTTCATAGTGCATATAATGTATTTGGATCTAATCCTACTATTTTCCCCCTACTTATAACCACCAGCACATTTCCCTCCCAACTTGTGCTTTGTTTTTCAAGCCCACTGAGTCTACTTAGTGCTGCCTGTACAGACATGTGTGTAGAATTACCTGCTGGATCATAAGTAGCCTCCCCAGGATCACACACAATCTTAACATGGAAGGGAAAGGTCTCTTTGAAGGCCAATGCAGGTTTCAGGAAGAGAATCTACAACTAGATTGAAAAACTATAAACAAGTGTTTTTCAGAATTAATTTAGTATTAAGAAACTTGAAGAAACTCCCTACCCTAAATGGAATAGCAATTATTTCTAAGCTATCATGGTGGCCAGAATAATTGAGCATTTCCTCTGGGAGTTGAAATGAGAGGAAGCACACTTTTTATGGCTTTGTTACTTTCTTTTTACCCTCAGGTCTGCTTCGGGGTGTAGCTTATGCCTATACTGTTTATAGTCATATTATTTTCTGTGTCTAGGAGAACCGAACCTAGTAACAATAGGGTGAGTCTACAACATAAAACAGTCTTCTTTTTCCCCCCTCAGAAATTCTGTGATGAAGTTAATCAGATAACCAATTCTGAAACTCTCTCGAGTATAGACAGCCTTGAGGCTGTAGAGCAGGAAGAGATCTACATAACACTCAGCATGGCTCCTTCCACATCAAGCCAGCAGAACTCCGTTCCCCTCAAGTCGGCGAATCTGCAGTCAGCTCATCTAAACTGCTTTGATGAAGGCAATCTGTCATTCTCTAAAACTCAGCATATAAACAATTGGCTTACAAACTTAGATGCTCAGAATACTCAGCCTGTTGCATCCTTTTCAGATATATTAAGTAAATCTAGTGTTCTGCCCTCATGGGAATGTTTGGCTACTAAAGAACAGAATCCACCTACTTTGAGCAGAACTGTGGAGAGAACCACAGGAACTGCTAATGACTCAGTGCTCTTGGTGTGCAGTCCTTCCGTAGTTGCTCTAGATAAAAAAGGAGGAAACCCCTCTGAAAGTCACACTGTGAGGACCAGTGATCCTGCTGATGGAGCTCTCCAAAGGGAGAGGCCGTCAGGTGCCGAGAGCCCAACATTTAAAGTCAGTAGAGCCTGGACTACTCCGGAATCTCTGACCCAGGAAGCAGCTTCATTTTCCATCCAAGAGAGACTGTCTGAGTTAACTCAAGAAAATAGAGCTGCTTCACTTCCTACTTCATTTGTCCCTGTTTTGTCGCCTAATTCGCAGTCAGGTGGCCCTTTATCGGAGAACAACACACGTGTGAAAGAAATTGATCCCGTGCAGTGTTCTGATAAGTTATGTGAAATGAAAGATGTGAAATGTGAAAAGATAAACTATTTTAACTGTAATAAAGAGAAGTTGTCTTTATTTTCAGAAAATTTTCAGGCCACCTACGCACCTCAAAATTGTAATTCAAAAGATAGGAAACAAAAAGCAAGTGGGCCGTCAGCACCACTGTGCAGCGCAACCCCTGACTGTGACTTGCCTGACCAGCACAGCCTGAAGCATAGCGGCCACGAACAAAATGGCGTGAGGCTGCCTAAGAGCATATTAAAGAAAGAATCCAGATACGAGCATGATTATCTCAAGGCACTAGTTATAAATCAGGGTTTTAAGTTTAGACACCAAAAGGCAGAAGCTATTAGAGATAGTATTGAATTAACAAGACAAAAAGGGAAAGGTGCAGGAACCCCAAAGACTGTAAAAAAGCTGCGGTGGCTTGACGAGAGCGGCAGCACAGAAAACTGTGCAGATGATAGCCACCCAGTGAGGAACAGGGCAGGGACGGCTCCACAGTGGTTACAGTCCTGTCACGCCAGCAGTGGCACCTGCAGCCTAACCGCTGCTCCTGATTGTCCTGCACATTCTGCTGGTGGAAAGAAGGCCACGGATGATGGTGTCTCTGAAAAGGTCACTGATCTAGGAGGACGTGACATGAACAGTGTGCCCTTGAACTCTTGTAAACCTTCAGGCTATAGCTTTGCTAAACAAGCCTGGTCAGCCTGCAGAAGAGAAGAGAACAAAGCCCCTGTACATGCTGGTCCTATGCCTGCTGGTGACGCTAAGGCTCCAAGGGGAGCAAAGGGGACTAGAAGAATAGGATCTGCAAAGGCCCAGACAGGCCTTGTCCATGTGAACAGAAAAGCCACTGTCAGCCAGCCACCATCTTCAAACAAAGCCAACACACTGGCCCAAACTCAGGGGAAACTAATTATACCTCATCCTCCGCCAAAACCACCAACAAATATTAAAAGTAGTAAAACTGTGCAAGTGTCCCCATGTCACTTAGCCACACCTGAACACTCCCAAAGCGCCATGACACAGAACTGCTTAAGTTCATGTGTGCTTCCAACAGAGTGCCGTTTGAACCAGTGGACTCAGGAAAGTCGCCTCCCGTTCTCAGAGGCCTGCTCTGACCTACTCGCTGTGACCCCAGCTCTGTCATCTCCTTACTCTCCAGAGTGCCAAACCTCAGCAAAAGGAAACCATTCAAATGACTCTCACACAGGTTTCCAGCAAGACGGGACAGTATATTGTACCCAAAAAAGTCCTGTTTGTGAAGAGAGCTACCAGTCGTTGACTCCTAGAAACACCGAAGAAGAATCAGTTTTCTCTTGGAGAAGAAGGAACCATGGGTGCCAAAATGAGAGGGCCACTGGTAAGGATAAGATGTATACCTTCTTCAGAGTCATGTGAAATTTTCCATATTGGTTATGGCAGTGTATAATGTATAGTGAGTTATAGTATGAAGATAACTTAGCTGTCCATACTATAACTTGTTCTAGTAGCTGGAGTTCTTCAGAGAATTACCTAACCTGTACTCAATTAAAATCAGAAACTTTTGCTAGCTCTATTTTTCTATAACTTCCCTTGATGTTTTGAAAAGAGTAGATAATGAATAGCATCTGATCCTTATTCCAGGTGGTTCTGTCATTGCTGTTGTAATAGATTTCTGTCACATAAGCACCATGGGAAAACAGCATTGTTTATTTAAATAGATTATGTCACAACTTACTTGTCGAAGACCAGCTTCGACAAAAATACCACTTACCAGGGTAGGAGAATGGGGATTAGAAAAATAATAGAGAACAAAGATGCAAATGCCTTTAATTTCTCATACACTTTTATAACCCAATACAACAGAGGGAAGAAGACAAAAAGACTGCTTTAACATGATACAAAGGACAACATCAAGTCATTAGCATTTTATTGTTTAGGCAGTGAACCCACCCTTACACCAAGTAACCTGAAGGTGGCCACTCTCAAGGTCAAACCCCCTATCTCAAAAGAAGAAGCAGAAATATGCTTGAATGTCCTGACCATTAGTCAGGACCGGAGTAGGTCTACCTTATGGGCCATCTTAATGTCAAAAGGACCGGGTAACCGCACCTAGGTCAGGATGTGTAGCCCTGGTTGTTGTCAACAATTTTGAGCAACCTCAAACTCTCTGACCTTCAGACAAAGTGGAAATAGGCTCATTTGGGGGGCCTCCACACTTGTTTGTTCTTTTTTGTTTGACATAGAGTATAGCTCTGTCTGGCCTGGGAACTCACTATGTAGACCAACTGGACTCAAGTTTACAGACTTCCTCCTGCATCTGCCTCCCAATGCTGGGATCAAAGGCATGTGCCACCATACTCGGCTTATTTTAAAATTTTTATATGAATTCCTTATATGCTAATAGTAGATGTTAACAAGCTGTCAAGGTGGCAGGTGAAGATAGACGCTTTCAACCAAACATGACAGCCTGAATTCAATCCCTGAAACCTGCATGGTGGATGGAGAGAGCTGTCTACTCCTAGGTGACCTCCAAATGCCACCTAGGTGCCATAAGGCACTACTGCAGTTTAGAGAAAGGCGTGTTTTGATCAGTATACAGCCCTCCCATCCCTTCCAGAGCACTGCAGCTCTGCCTCTGTTGTCACTTTTTCTCTGTTTTCAAGTAGGGAAAGAACAGACACCGTTGTTTGAAACAGTTTTGAGATTTACTTCTCTAGTGAATGCCATTGGCCCTGTCACTCACGGCTTGTGAAGCCACTCCCCTCCTTGAAGGGAATGGACTAGAAGTCCATAAAACTTCCTGCCAATGGGAATCAGTTCCCTACTGAGAAAGAGCAACGGCTGTTCTTAGAGGGCGTGGGCACTACAGTAATAACAAGTAATAATGTGCGCAGAGTTTAAACATTCATAATCAGTGTTCTCTTTAAAGACCAGGGATTTTCTGTGTACTATACATTGTACTCCAGATCCCAACAGGGCCTGACACTTAGTAGACACCCTGCCTTTTCTTTCATTTGTTCATTTGTTTGTTGTTTTTGAGACTTGAGAGATTTGTTTAGTTTTGTTTTGCTTTTGAGACAGGATCTCACTGTATAGCACTGACTGCCCTGGAGCTCAGTAAGTACACCATACTGTCCTTGAACTCGCACAGATCTGCCTGCTTCAGCCTCACACGTGCCAGGATTTAAAGGTGTGTAAAACCACACCTTACTTAATTTTTTGATTTTTTTTATTTGTCACTTGGTCTTTGTATATGTTATTCCTTTGCTATGGTCCCTTTAAGAGCTAGCCATGCCTACTCCCAGCCACTTCTGATGTCCCTCGCCGCCATCTTAATTCTCTCTCTTTGGTCTTTCTCTCTCAGCGTGTGCACACGTGTTTCTCTCTGTCTCTATGTTTTTATGTCTTTATGTTTGTCTATCTCTGTCTCTCTGTCTCTCTGTTTCTTTTTAAGTAATAAATGTTTACCCTTATGTTTATTTACTATGTCCTGTGAGCTGTTTATCCACCGTATCCACCCGCCTGACTCATCCGGCCGTGTGGCGGGATCAGCCTGCCACCCTGGAGATCTTACAGGGATGATAATATTTTTAAAGAACAATAGTATATCTATGCCACATGTGTGAGGATGCCTATGGAGGTCAAAAGAAGGTGTCAGGATCCCCATGACACTTGAGTATAGATTCTTGTTGGTACCTACCGTAAGTACCAACAAACTCAGGTCCTCTGTGATGGCAACTAGGGCTCTTTTTTATTATTTTTGTTGAGCTATATATTTTTCTCCACTCCCCTCCTACTCCTTCCCTCCCCTTCAACCTTCTCCCAAGGTCCCCATGCTCCCAATTTACTCAGGAGATCTTGTCTTTTTCTACCTCCCATGTAGATTAGATCCATGTATATCTCATTATTGTCTACATTCTCGGGGATTGTGACTTGTAAGCTAGTTTTTTTTTGTTTTATATCTAAAAGCCACTTATGAATGAGTATATATATTTGTCTTTCTGGGTCTGGGTTATCTCACTCAATATGATGTTTTCTAGCTCCTTCCGTTTGCCCACAAATTTCAAGATGTCATTATTTTTTTTGGCTCTGTAGTACTCCATTGTGTAAATGCACTACATTTTTCTTATCCATTCTTCGGTCAAGGGACATTTAGATTGTTTTCAGGTTCTGGCTATGTCAAACAATGCTGCTATGAACATAGTTGAGCACATGTCTGTTGACAGTGGTAAAGGTTTCTGTCCCACCCAGTCCTGCAGCCCTTCAGTCCCAAAGAAAATACACAGAGGTCTACATTAATCATAAACTAGTTGGCCTATTAGCTCAGGCTTCTTATTAACTCTTACATTCTGTATTAAGCCATAATTTTTGCCTGTGTCAGCCACATAGCTTGGTACGTTTCATCAGCAAGGCATTCTCATCTTGCTTCCTCTTTGTCTGGGTAATGCCTGCAGACTGAGCTTTCTTCTTCCCAGAATTCTCCTGTTCTGGTCACCCCACCTATACATCATGCCTGGTTACCCTGCCTATATACTTCCTGCCTGGCTACTGGCCAATCAGCATTTTATTAAATCAATACAAATCTTTGCAGAGTTCAAGATCATTGTCCCACAGAACATGTCCTTGTAGTATGATTGAGCCTCCTTTGGCTATTACTAGGTCTTGAAGTAGGTTGTTTCCTAAATTTCTGAAAAATCCCCATACTAATATCCAAAGAGGCTGTACCAGTTTGCACTCCCACCAGCAATGGAGGACTGTTCCCTTTACCCCACATCCTCTCCAGCTTAAGTTGTCTTCAGTCTTTTTGATCTTGGCCATTCTGACAGGCATTAGATGGAATCTCAGAGTTGTTTTGATTTGCATTTCTCTAATAGCTCCCTCAGTGGTCACTTCCTAGTACCTACTCCTGTGAGCATTGCTGCCTCAGGCCTGCTCTGGTAGAGATTGCATACAACTAGGGCTCTTAATGAATGACCCATCTCTCCAGCCATGAGACTTCTCATAAACTGGATGGATGCAAACTATATTAGCAGGTAGAAAATTGAATGCAGAGAAAGTAACCTAAATCTCTTCACTATTCTCTACAAAAAATTCTAAGCAAGGATAGAGACTGAGTTTTTTAAAGAATGAAGAGAAACTAAGGGAAGAAAAATATTGAGAAAATAAGTAAAATTATTGCAGAAGTTATAAAACCTTGAAACACATGTTATATGAGATCATATCCTAAAGCACAGACTAATTCCTTATAGTGAAATTTCTTTCAGGATAATGAACTCACTATACAGTGTATGATCCCTCTGACAAATGTAACAGGTGTCATGTATAAAGTTTCATTTCTAATTTTTCGATAATGTTAAATTAGAATCTTTCAGTGCTCTTCCTGCAAACAGTATAAAAAGTCTCGTGTATCTTCTGGGTATTCCCCATATTCTTTTCCATAGCAGGAACTGTATTGAGTGAATCCTTGCAGATGGGCCATGTATAGAACTTAGAGGAAAATTAATAGAAGTCTGCTGGCCAAATGGGTGAAATATATAGAACTTTCTGCACTGCCTGACAGTAATTTGAAAATTAGAGGGTTACATAATTACCTTCTCAATTTTCATAATTTTTTACATTGACATTTGTTAAGATTCTGCTGTTACAAGAAGAAAACAAGTTGTTGAAAATAAGTGGAGAAAGCTGTTAGAGCAGAAGAGAAAAGTCTCTGGATCTGTAAGAATGAAGAGCACCGAGCAGATGATTGTAAGTATGGTCTTACATACGAGAGCAAGACTCTCGTAGTGTAGAAACGGCTTTAAGACAGGTGCTTTTGGTGTACGCTGTACCTCAGAATCAGTGGGAATACAGCCAAAGCCATTCATTATACAATCTTGGAATCTCAATGCTAGTAGCTTATTGTACTTATTTGCTATATTTGAATGAATCCATATGATCAGTTGCCAGTGAAGACTTTTAACTATCTTTAAGCAATTATTTCTGGGGCTGGAGAGATGTTAAGAGTGCTGACTACTCTCTGAGAGGACCCAGGTTCAGTTCCTAGTGCCCACATGGTAGCTCACAACCATCTCTAACTCCAGTCTGAAAAAATCCAAAGCCACCCTCTGGCCTATAAATGCACCAGGCACAAAACTGGTACACACACAAACAAACATTTATATATATATATATATATATATATATATATAACTTTTTCTTATTTATTATTAACTTGTTACTTATAGATAATTCTGTAAAAAGATCATTTGCAACAAAATTCCCCAAAGTTATTTAAATATTCAATAAATTGGCAGGATGAGAGAAGGGAAGAAGGGATAGATGTTGGTAATATTGTATGTTATACAGTACTTTTTAAAAGACATTTTCCATCTAGGAACCTTTTATAAGAACTTTGAATTACATGATGGTTTTGTCTTTAGGAACAGCCCAACAAACCTACTATGGCTTTTGGGACAGAGATCTTGAGTAAAATCCAAAGTGTAGTAACAACTTTAAATGATACAGAAATTATATGAGGACTGAATAAGTATAGTCTAATATGACATTTTAGAGGTCTATTTGGGGATTGATTTTATTTTTTTTATAGAATTGGATTAGGGTGCCCTGTAAAAACTGTACGTTTTGAAGAAGTTGAGGGTCTTGCCATTCACATAGGGAGCATTTTACACACTTCTTCCTGGTTCTGGGGCTCAAACTCCAAGCTTCTTAATTGCAAGGCAAACACTGAGCCACACCTATAGCCCAAGAGGTATTAATTTTCATGTGCATAAGGTTATTAATAGAGATAACAATCATGATTAATCTTACCAGCAAAGTGAGCCATTTAGTTTATGTTTGTATAAGTTATGGTCTCACTATAACTTATATGATTATAGCTCAATAATAAATTCAGGGAATATGTTATCTTTCATTAAACTTGTTTTAAGCTGTATCAGATTTGCTGGGTGTATCATACACCTTTAATCCCAGCACTTGGGAGACAGAATTAAGTGAATCTCTGAGTTGCAGACTAACCAGAGCTACATAGTAAGACCTTACCCCCCCCCAAAAAAAAAAAAAGAAAGAAAGAAGCAAAGACGGAAGAAAGAGGTATCTCAAATCTTAGAAGTCACATGTACAAGTTACAAACAGTGCCCTCTCCGTTGTTTCTACTCTCTGGACGCTGTTGTATTGCTCCCTGCCTTTTGCCCCTTACCCTGCTGTTGTCTTCACTGTCTTCCCAGTTTCCTTTTCCTCCATTATGTACAGCTTTCCTTCCCCTTTCGCATGTCTGTCACTTACACATCTGCTTGGCCACCTCACACCTCACAAGGTCTTGCCACTCTTAGACTACATGAGTGTTCTGGATCAAAATCAAATTTTAGAGTTGAGAATTGTTATCATTATTTTGTTTGGTTTTGTTCTTTATTCTAGAGGCTGGTGAAGCATTCTGTTGCTACAGTAGTGGTCCTTATCACCATGTCTTAGGAAATGTGTTTTGAAATGCCATCTTTTGCCTAGCTCTTTGTGCAAGGAATGTAAGACAGATAAAAGTGAAACGTCACCCTTCCATTTTACAGCAGATTTTCAGTTCCAGGTGTGTCAAGAGGAAAATACAGCTCAGGCAGCCTTGGGGTGGGAGCTGTTGCAGTGGCCTCTGTCGGTTACTCGTCAGATTAGGTCGGCAGAGCCAAGAATAGGTCCCTGCCAGGTGCTCTCACAGGCTGTACTTGGGAGAGCGAGTGGGTGTCAGTCAGGTAATGCGGACCGGCACACTTTTTGAAGATGTGTTCAGATCTCTGCTGCTTCTGCGTGCAGTCTTGTAGATCCTTCCTGTCTTCAACATCAGCTGCACTCAGAACAGTCTAGCAGTGACTCACACGTACAAAGCCATCCATGTAAAATGGGATGGGACTTTTGACAGTTCTTCATTCCAGCTGATTAACACCCAGCATACTTTGCCCTTCTTGTTATCCAAGAGAACACCGCAACCTGAAACTTTGTATTAGACATAAGACAGTTTAAATATTTATTCACCATGAAAGGCTTTAATCCAGTAGTTCTTGATTTCTGCCCCAAAACAAAGGAGATAGGCAGGTTATACAAAGAGTGACAACTAAAATGCAGGTAACAATTTATAGATTCTTTAAAGCCTTGACCATATCATGAATTTTAAATGTGGAATTCTATTCTTATTTAACCTATTTTTATAGCATTTTGGACAAACTGTCCAAAGTACAAATGAGCCAATACAAGCTACAAGAGGTCCCGAGACTGAAGAAGGTACGTTTGCTATATGTATTTTCTTTTCTTTTCTTTTATTGTGGATATCCCGATTGTACTTCCTCTCCCTCTACTCTGCCCAGTTCCACTCCATCTCCTCTCCCATCTGAATTCATTCCTTTTCTGTCCCATATTAGAAAATGAACAAATTCTAAGGGATAATAGTAAAATAAAATGTAACAGAATCAATATAAGATAAAACAAAAGCTAACACATTGGAATAGGACAAAACAAACAGAAGGAAAAAACCCATGTGAAGGCATAGCAAACAATTTACTCAGGAGATCTTGTTTTTTTCTGCTTTCTACTTCCCATGTAGATGAGATCTATGTAAGTCTCTCTTAGTATCCTCATTGTTGTCTACATTCTCTGGGATTGTGGTTTGTAAGCTGACTTTCTTTGCTTTATGTTTAAAAACCACCTATGAGTGAGTATATGTGATAATTGTCTTTCTGTGTCTGGGTTACCTCACTCAAAATAATGTTTTCTAGCTCCGTCCATTTTTCTGCAAAATTCAAGATGTTGTCATTTTTTTCTGCTGTGTAGTACTCCATTGTGTAAATGTACCACAGTTTCCTTATCCATTCTTCACTCAAGGAGCATTTAGGTTGTTTCTGGGTTCTGGCTATGACAAACAAAGCTGCTATGAACATAGTTGAGCACATGTCCTTGTGGCACGATTGAGCATCCTTTGGATATATACCCAAAAGTAGTATTACTGGGACTTGAGAAAGGTTGTTTCCTAATTTTCTGAGAAATCACCACACTGACATCCAAAGGGTTTGTACCAGCTTTCATTCCCACCAGCAATGCAGAAGTGTTCCCTTTTCCCCACAACCTCTCCAGCATAAGTTGTCATCAGTGTTTTTAATCTTAGCCATTCTTACAGGTGTAAGATGGAATCTCAGAGTTGTTTTGATTTGCATTTCTCTGATGACTAAGGATGTTGAACATTTCCTTAAGTGTCTTTTAGCCATTTTAGATTCCTCTATTGAGAGTTCTTTGTTTAGGTCTGTACTCCATTTTTTTTATTGGATTATGTGTTCTTTTGGTGTCCAATTTCTTGAGTTCTTTGTACATTTTGGAGATCAGCCCTCTGTCTGATTTGGGGTTAGTGAAGATCTTTTCCATTCTGTAGGCTGTCGTTTTGTCTTGTTGACCGTGTCCTTTGCTTTACAGAAGCTTTTCAGTTTTAGGAGGTCCCATTTATTAATTGTTTCTCTCAGTGTTTGTGCTACTGGGGTTATATTTAGAAAGTGGTTCCCTGTGCTAATGCGTTGAAGTGTACTTCCCACTTTCTCTTCTATAAGGTTCAGTGTGTGTGGCTTTATGTTGAGGTCTTTGATCCATTTGGACTTGAATTTTGTGCGTGGTGATAGATACAGGTCTATTTTTATTCTTCTACATGTTGATATTCAGTTATGCCAGCACCACTTGTTAAATATGCTTTCTTTTTTCATTTGATATTTTTTGCTTCTTTGTCAAAAATCAGGTGTTCAAAGATGTGTGGATTGATATCGGTGTCTTCTATTCTGTTCCATTGATCCTCCTGTCTGTTCTTATGCCAATACCACGCTGTTTTCAGTGCTGTAACTCTGTAGTAGAGTTTGAAGTCCCATTGTGATGCCTCCAAACGTTCTTTTACTGTACAGGATTGCTTTGGGTATCCTGGGTTTTTTGCTTTTCCATATGAAGTTCAGTGCCATTCTTTCAAGGTCTTTGAAAAATTTTACTGGGATTTTGATGGGCGTTGTGTTGAATCTGTCCCCTTTTCATTTCTAATTTTGTTAATTTCTATATTCTCTCTTCACCTCTTAGCTAATTTGGATAAGGATTTGTCAATCTTATTGATTTTTCTCAAAGAACCAACTCTTTGTTTCATTGATACTTTGCATTAGTTTTGTTTTTGGTTTTCTACTTTATTGATTTCAGCCCTGAATATTATTATTCCTTGCCATCTACTCTTTTTGGGTGTAATGTCTTCTATTTGTTCTAGGGATTTCAAGTATGCCCTTAAGTCACTCGTATTAGATTTCTCCACGTTTTTATGTCGGTATTTAGTGCTATGAGCTTTCCATCATGTCCAGTAAGTTTGGGTATATTGTGTATTCATGTTCATTCGATTATAAAAAGTTTTTTATTTTTTTCTTGATTTCTGTTGACTTATTTTTTTTTATTTAGTAGTGAGTTGTTGAGTTTCCATGAGTTGTAAGCTTGTTGTTTATGTTCTTGACATTCAATTTTAATCCATGGTAGTCATATAGGACATGGAATGTTATTTTAGTTTTCTTGTATCTGTTGAGACTTACTTTGTGTCCCAGTGTGTGGTCCATTTTGGAAAAAGTTCCTTAAGTACTGAAAAAGTGTATTTGTTTTTTGTTTAGGTGAAATGCTCTGTAGATGTCTGTGAGTCCGATTTGGTTTATAACATCTTTTAGCTCTATCATTTTTGTTTAGTTTTTGTCTGGAAACCCTGTCTATTGGCAAGAATGGTGTATTAAAGTCTCTCACTATCTGTGTGAGCGTCCATATGTGTTTTAAGCTGTAGAAGTATTTGGTTTATGACCTTTGGTGCCCTTGTGTTTGGTGCATAAATGTTAAAAATTACGAAATGTCCTGTTGGTGGAGTTTTTCTTTGAGTATGTAGTATCCTTCCATATCTGATTAGCTTTGGTTTGAAGCCTATTTTGTCAGATGTTGAAATGACTGCACAGCTTGTTTTTTAGGTCCGTTTGCGGAATATTTTATTCTAAACCTTTACCCTAAGTTGATGTTTGTCATTGATGTTAACATGTGTTTCTTGTATGCAACAGAAAGGTGGAGATCCTGTTTTCGCATCCATTGTGTTAACCTTGTGTCTTTTTATTGGGGAATTGAGACCATTAATATTGAGAGATATCAATGATCAATGATTGCCAATTCTTGTTATTTTGTTGGTGTTGGTGGTATGCATTTTTTGAGTGTGTGTGTGTGTGTGTGTGTGTGTGTGTGTGTGTGTGTGTGTGTTTACCTTCTTTAGACTTTTCTGGTTTTCTGGCCTGGGATTATTTATTCCCTCTGTTTTATTTTCTTGGATGTAGTTAACCTCTTTAGGTTGGAGTTTACCTTATGCACCTTCTGTGGGGCTGGATTTGTAGATAGATATTGATTAAAGTTGGTTTTGTTTCTCCATCTATAGTGATTGAAAGTTTTGCTGGGTATAGTAGTCTGGGCTGGTATCTTTGATCTCTAAGAATCTGTAGCACATCTGTTCACACCCTTCTGGCTTTTATAGTCTCTGCTGAGAAGTCAGGTATGATTCTAATAGGTCTGCCTATATATGTTGGTCTTTCTTTCTTGACGTTTTTAATATTCTTTCTTTGCTTTCTAAGTTTAGTGTTTTGATTACCTTGTGCCGAAGGGACTTTCTTTTCTGGTCCATTCTATTCAGTGTTCTGTATGCTTCCTGTGTAATGATCGTTCTGTCTCTTTAAGAGGCAAGCCATGCCCACCCCCTTCCCCATCCGCTGAGGCAAGCTGATCTTCAACTTTCAGCCTGAGTTCTCTCTTTTTTCTTTTCCAGCTCTTCCTCGGAGAGGCAGCTTCGATCTCTCCTCTCTCTCTCTCTCTCTCTCTCTCTCTCTCTCTCTCTCTCTCTCTC